CTGTCCACAGCCCTTGGTCCTTAAGGCCAACTCTCGACAAATGTAAATGCTTTTTAAAAACCTTATTCCTGGAGCCGGAGAGATAACTCAGCAGTTAAGAGCATTGACTGCTCTTGCAGAGGACCTGGGTTTGATTCCCAGCACCCATTTGTTGGCTAACTGTCTGCAACTCCAGTTCCAGGGATCTTACACCTTCTTCTACGGGCATTGCACAACACAGGTGTACATACACACGTGCAGACAATATACTCATATGCATAAAATAAAAATAACAAATAAAATAAAAACCTCATCCCTCTTTTGTTAACAAAAAGAAAGATATTCAGTTCTGTTTAGGTATATTAACATTTTCTTACCCTGGAAGATTCTTCTTTTTAAATTTGGGTAAAATTCTATGTACCACACAGCAGCAGATGCTGCTACTTTAAATTGTATTGTTCTGAACTAATGTTCTTTCTGAAAAAGATTTATTTATTTACTTTTATTTATGTGTATGTGTGTGCCTATGTGAATTTATGTGCACCACGTTCATGAAGGTGTCTGTGGAGGCCAGAGGGCATTGGATCTCCTGGAACTAGAGTTAGAGGCCATTATGAGCCATTAGATGTTGGAAACCGAACCTGAGTCCTCTACAAATGCATTAAGTGATCTTAACCACTGAGCCATCTCTCTAGCTCCCTGAACAAATGTTCTTAAGAAAGATCCATTTGAAATTATTTTGGGGAATATCAGTATTTCTTTCAGTTAAGTATGAAATATGGTCAGCCTCATGATGCATGCTAATATCGTAGTTTTAAAAATTAAAGTGATAACATCTTTAGTAAGACCAAAGACATACACCACTTGTTTTAAAACACTTGGCTTCTATTAGGACTTTCTCCAGGGATCAGTAAGATGGAAGTTTTAGTTTCATTGTAAGTGTTGCCCAGGTTCATTCCAGACAGGCCCATTGTGCCTAAAGCTCCCTACACCTGTCAGTCAGCCTTGATCACATCCAGGTACATTTGAATCCCAGTCCCACAGTAAAGCAGGGAAGCTGGGTCAGCACAGATCTGCACGGGAAAGGCTGGATAAGCTGCCTCTTGGGCCACCTGTCTCTACTATAAGAGAAACTTGATTCCAAAAATAAAATGAAGGGCAGCAGTGTGAAACTGAGTATGCATTGGTTTTCTCAGCCAGACCTACATTCTGCAGAGAAAAAATTGACAAGGATTAGAGGAGATAAAGTTGGAACTTCCACAAATGAACTTGTGCTGGGGAAGGAGAAATAAACAGCATCAAAGATCAGAGTAGAGTGTGAATGAGCACATTTAGAAAGCCTGGCCTCTTATTAAGGACCCTTGGTGGGCCATGAGTCACAGAAGTCATGCCCTGCATAGTTGCTCAGCATGAAGGTCCTCATGAGTCTGCCTCCGCAGAACCTCTCTCTTGAGATGCCCCAGTGCACATCATCTGTAGATCCCTACTGGTGTCATCCCCAGAAGCCTTTCCCTGTACTCAGTGTAAGAAGGGAACAATTTGCATTTGTTTTTATTAATAAAATTGGTCTGGGAATATCAGTCTCCTGGTGGCAGGCAGTAATGAAGTTTCAGAAGCACTGGAGCTCCCAGATGTGAGTTCTCTTTATTCTGCAGCTAGTCACACACCACCACATGCTGTTCACCTGTTGGCACAGCTGCTCGAGCTGTTTCTTCCTTTGAGAGCCTTTACTCCAAAATGTCAATGATCTTCCATATCCGTTCTCCCACTTTCACCCTTCTGCAGGTGTATGACTGCCTCCAGGATTTTAAAGAAAAGAAACTAGTTCCTGCCACACCTCATGTGCAGACTTGATCCTGTGAGGTAAGGTGATTCTATCCCAGCAAAGCCCTTACTGGGGTCCTCTGACCTGCAGTGCTTGCTTAAATGAATGGAGGGTTCTGTTGGAGAAACTTGATGGATGAATATGTAATTTCATGAATATTTGTAATTGAACTTAAAATAAGGAAGAAAGTTGTCCATCTTCCCAATACACCTTCTTTTAGCATGTGTCCCTGTTCCTGTCCCTCCCTCCCTCCCTCCCTCCCTCCCTTCCTTCCTTCCCTCTTCTTTTTGCTTTATTGAGATAGGGTCTCCCTAGTACCCCCAGCTGGCCTGGTAGCCACAGAGATCCTCCTGCCTCTGCCTCCTGAGTGCTGGGATTAAAGATGTGTACCACCACACCCAGCTTTTCCCCTGTCCTTTACATTTAACTGACCTATGTCAACGAGGTCATGTTACAGTAATGATTCACCAGTTTCCATCTCTAACATGGACCCTATCTGAATTCTAGTCTTCACTACCATCTTCATTCTCCCCATCTTACTCAGAAGTTGGTTGGACACCTCAAACCTAGCATGTCTTCAACACATCCCCTTCAACCCCTCCTCTTGCAGCTTCTCAGTCTCAGTTACTGTTCTTGCAGTGCTCAGGCCAGATTCTTGGGGGTGATTTTTGAGACTTCCTCTCATACCTCACACCTAGTCTGATGGGAAGTCCTATCAGCTCCACCTTCCAGTACATCTGTAATCTCACCGCCTCACATAAGCCGTTATCACACCTTACACAGATAACCAGATACAGTTCCTACTGGTTCTCTGGGTTCCTGCCTTGCTTCCCCCTGGTCTGTTCCCAACAGAGCAGTCAAAGAAACTCTTTTTAACAGCAGGTCCGGTCATGACCCTTCTCTGCCCAAGTCCTTCTCATGACTTCCCACCTCTGAATAAATGCCCAGATTCTTGCACAGATGAGTATAACTGAGCTTCTATGATGGCTTTATTTTGTACTTACTGTTTGCTACCTGTTCGCCCTGCTCCAGTCATGTCAGCTCCTGTGGTTTCAAGTTCATCCAACATGCTCCTGCTTCATGCCTTTGCCCTTGCCCTTCCCTACACGTATGTTCTTGCTTATGAATCCTCCCCATCTACTCCTGTTCCACATGTTCAACTGACACCCTCCAGGTGTTCCTGGCCACCTAGCTAAAATTGTGTTCCATCCTCAAACTCCCTTGTCAACTTTCCTGGTTTTTTTTTCTCCTGTAACCCAAGCTGGCCTGGGAACGCTTCTTATATTAGGCCCTTGCCCTTCCCTACACGTATGTTCTTGCTTATGAATCCTCCCCATCTACTCCTGTTCCACATGTTCAACTGACACCCTCCAGGTGTTCCTGGCCACCTAGCTAAAATTGTGTTCCATCCTCAAACTCCCTTGTCAACTTTCCTGGTTTTTTTTTCTCCTGTAACCCAAGCTGGCCTGGGAACGCTTCTTATATTAGACAAAGTTGTTCATTTATTTATATATTACTTATATGTTTTATTTATTAACTGTGCCTCCCCACTGAAATGTGAACTCCAGAGGAGTGATATGTTTTGTCTGCCTGTTAGCTCTTTTTGTACCACCTAAAATGGTGCCCAGCACATAAAATGTGTTCAATAAATATTTGCTGAATGAATGAATAAAGTCAATCCATTTTTACTATATATTGTTCAAACCATAGAAGAAACCAAAAAGAAAGGAGAAAACTGTACCCTCAATTCCAGGAATCAGTATTTCCAACTGTCCTCAGTTATCAGCAGGAAACATATACACGACATTTCATTCTGTTGTAACCCTAGTAAAGAGAGGTAAAGCTTGTGACTTTCTTGCTTCCATTTGGCTGCATGCAGTAAGGCTTGGCAGCTGAGGACTCTTGGGGCTGACTAAAACGTCAGAAGGTATCGTGTCCTGTGAAAGCAGGTCTAGAGTTAAACCACAGAAGAAATGAGAATATTCTGTGCATCATTTTATATTATAATAGATACTGAAATTGTTGGCAAATGGTATACTTTAAAAAAATTTTTAAATTATTTTTATTTTTTTATGTGTGCAAGTGCATTGCCTGCATGTATGTAAGTGCACCCATGTCATGCAATGCCCATGGAGGTCAGAAGAGGGCATAAGATTGCCCTGGGACTGAAGTTATAGACAGTTGTTAGCCACTATAAGGGTGCTGGGAATCGAACCTGGGTCCTCTGGAAGAGCAGGCAATACTCTTAACCACTGAGCCATTTCTCCAGTTCCAAAATTATATATTTTTAAATAGAAATCATCATTCCCATTTTCTATTTAAAGAATGGTGTTTCCCATGAAACCAAGTTGCCTGGATTCTCAGGTCACCTTCAGCTTAGCCTCATCTGCTTGTAAAGCACTGATATTAACAAACAGTCACTTTAGTGACACCAGGACTGAGGAAAGAAACTAGGCCCTGACTCTAACAATGGAAATGAAAGCCTCAGCTACAACTTTTCTTAAGTCAACATCATGTTATTTATAATCTAGTTTTCAGCCTGGGTGAAATTGACTAGAAAATGAAAATTCTTTTAAAAATTTACTTTGAAACAGAGTCTTACTTTATATCCAGGCTGGTCTCAATTGATGATCCTTGTGCCTCAGCCACTCAACTGCTGGGATTATAGGCATGAGCCTATATACCTGGCTTAAAAAGTTTTATATTATATATTTGCCTGTGAATCAGGTCTTGAAGCTGTTACCTGAAGCCCCCAGATCCTCTGAGATTCAAGAGCTCAGACAAATCCTCCAGGCTCCACACTACAAGGTAAGTACACACTAAAATAGACAATTTGCTCATCTGGCACATAGAGTTGGGAACAATAAATAAAACAGAAAATGTTCTCTCTGAATAGATGTTCTGTTTCTGTACATAAGCAACCAACAATTGTCCTCAAAGTTGTGAAGGTTCACATGTGACTGACTCAGCACTGTCCCTCATTGAGTCAAGCCTGCCACATTTATGAGGAGGCATCTAGTTCTAGAATTCTGGGCAGACTTCAGGGTAGCTTCTGGTTACAGAAAAATAATCTCTGCACTTCCTTTCCAAGTTGGGAATATTTTGAATTTTGGATGCAGTGTATGAAGATATTTGGAATATGCAGTGTAATGATTAACCCCTGTGAGGGACTGTATGAAAAATATGTGGTTATACAACAGACAACTTTCTCTCAAGACTTAATAGATTTTGAGATGAGGTTAACAACAAATTAGAATTTTAAGAGGAGAACTGCATTTAGAGCAATGGAATTTGTGGGTCAGAGTTTTAGTTCACAAGGTAAGCATTGGTTATCAAATATCCTCAGCAGCACCCTGCTTAGAGAACTTTGAGTTTTGACTAAATCCTGTTCACAATCTCACACAGAGCTAGAGAATGACAACACAGCCTCCTCACCTGGAGAAACAGAATGGCCACTAGAGTGAACTCTTCAATCACAACCCCCACCAGGAAGCTACTTTTTCACATTGTGTTCCACAGGAACCCTGACAAACCACCAAGATACCTTGATTGCAGCCCCAAAATTCCACTTCGCATATAGAAAATATTATGAAGATTGTTTTGTAGTTCAACTGCTATAAGAACACCTTTAACTGCCTGGTCTTCTAAGAAATTGGAACATTATGGGAGAATATATCTTAGCAGAAATAGAAGAGATTATTGTGCGTTGTTTAACCTTCTAACCTCTTCTAACCTCTCTTAACCTCCCCAATCCTTTGTTTCCTTATCTGTAAATAGAAGACAATAAATTTCCTGCCTCATAGAATTATTGTGATTGAGGCTGGAGAGATGACTGGCTGCTCTTCTACAGGACCCAAAACCTGTTCCAGCACCCACATCAGGAGGCTCATAACCACCTGCAACTCCAGCTCCATGGGATCCAGTGCCCTCTTCTGCCCTCCATAGGTGTTCACACACAGGGCATGCACACACACACACACACACACACATACACACACACACACAAAATAGAATTATTGTGATTGAATTTGCTTAGCGCTGTGCCTGACATGTATATGTTGATATTTGTGATTATGCGTCTCATATAGTATCCAGTCACCGTCTTCAAGATGCATGGGAGCCACCTGTGACATTTGCTTACCTTTCCTTTTCTATTCCCAGGCTGTGCTCAGTGCCCATGACACAGTAGCTCAGAAAGATTTTGAACCCCTTCTGCCCCCACTGCCAGATAATATCCCTGAAAATGAGGAAGCAATGAGGATTGTTTGTTTGGTAAAAAACCAGCAGCCCCTGGTAAGGAAAACATTTTATCTTTTTGTTTAGGATTACACTGGGATTCATTGTGAACTAAGTTAGCTGATTGTTATTTGGATGGTAATCTTGTCTCAGTCACACATACAGTGATAGAAATGATATGAAAACTAGTATGATTTTTGCCTGTGGGTTCAAACATATTTCAGGTTTTAATGTCTTTACTATGGGAAAAATTTCTATTTAGTGTTTTTCTTTTTTGGAAAGATAATAAAGATAAA